ATAGTATTTTAAGAAAAAAAAATTTTAAAAAAAAAGGAAAAAAAAAAAATAAATTAATTTACCTTTAAAAAAATTTTTTCCCGTTTCCCGCAGTATTTAAATTCGGTTTTTGGTAATAAAATTTTTTAATTTTAAAAAACGGTCTAATGGCAAATGATTTAATGTAAATATGAAATTACTTTTGCAGAATTGTGACAAATAAGTCGTACTTAGGAAATATTTTAATATCCGATGTTCGAAACAATATCCTAAAATAAATTATATAAAAGCATAAAATGGAGCCCAAAAATTTTACGCTTTGCACAAGGAATTCAAAAACAAATAAAACCCCCTTTTTATGTAGTTTTTGTTTAAAAATTTTTTTGTAAAAAGGAAAGGGGTATACGGGGATATATATGCGGATATGGGGGTATTGATGTCGAAAGAAAATTTTGTGTTCTATGTTTCCTCTCAACTTGTTCAATGGGATCGGGTGACGTTCACCATCACTAATTGCTATAAATATAATTCACCTAACTCTACTAACACATCTATTTTACATGATATTGAAATAACGCAGTCTACTAGAAAGCTTCATTTCTTTCTGTTTCATAGTTGGTTTATTCTAATACGATTTAGGATCTATGAGTTTGAGAAAGTTAGAGGAAGGGATTCACCTTTATTTAACTACTATTTTAAATTCTGATGGCTTGAGATTAGTGGAACTCTGAATTAAAAAAAAATAACTCAAATGTACATTCCCTAAAGTTCCAACGATTTCCTGGAAATTAACTTAGCAGAGTATCTAGTGTAATATAAAGAACATTCAAAACCTAAAAAACTCATTTAGATATATAATCAATAATAATATAATAAATTGCTATATATATATCTAAAGAACCAAAGCAAAAAAAAAAAAAACTTTCCAAAGGGGGATAGATCAGAAAAAAATTCCGGGGTACAAAAAGGGAAAAACTTTTTCCTTTAGAATTTTAGATTGCAAGTTTAAACGCCCTTTTTGGGCCATCCAACCATCAGTTGTAATTTACCTGTACTACTAGACTATAGGGAAAAGAAGTTAAAAAGAAAAAAAAGCCAACATTGATGCTAAGGATATATATATTTATCTGATAAAAAATCAATAAAACAAAATATACCACATGGCGTTTGAAATGCAACACTAAGAGAAAGTGGCCAAAAAAATTTCATTTTTAAAAAAATAAGGGGCATCTCATCGAAAAGAAAAAGATTTTGGGAAAAGACAACTCTTAACAATATTAGGGAGGATTCAAAAAAACCCTGCAGAGTGCGCATTATCCATGCCATTATTTATAGAAGAAATTCTTAAATTTTTTTAAAGTTTTCAAAGGATAAAATGCAGTAGCTCGGTGAAAGCCCTTTTACCAACGGAAAAATTTTTGGGAGAGACAGTTCATAGGGAGCAGGGAAATTTGGGAAAAAAAGAAGGACAGGTTGGTCCATATGTCAAGTGACACCCGTCCATGGTGCAGCAGCTGCAATAAAAATTGTGGGTTCAAAGAAAAAGGTTGCAGTTTTGAGGGATGCTGAACTTCCAGAGTGACGTCCGAATGCTTGGTTCAACGCATGGGTCGAGAAGCAGAGGTGACCTCGTATATTATTTTGTCACGTCTACAGGACACCCCAAACCTTTTTGGGCGAACCATCATCTGTTTTTGTAAAAAGGTGTACTCATGACGTTCGTTTGGAAAACTGTCATAGACTCCACAGCACTTAGGACTCCGTTTGCAATGGTGCCAGACTAGAACGACGCGGACAAAGGAACGTCTGGTTCTTTTTTCGAAGAGTCACATTCCAATCCGGCCCTCCCCTTAGTGGGCCCCAATAACCGCCGATTTGGATGTTGAGGTAATATATGATTCGTATTTAGTATATTAGAATGGTTCAAAACTGTATGGTTAATTATATGGATTTCCAGTTATGAAAAATATATGATCATTTACTTTTGTCACCAAATTTTGCGAAAGGGCGTTTTGCCCAAAATTTTTTTCCCTGCTACGTTTACTGTTAAGGAAAGGTAATTTTCCATTGCCTGTTAACAGTCTTTTTATATACAGTTTTGGGAAAGAATCTACAGAGTTCAAAATTTCCGAAACACCCAAACATTCCCTTTTTTGATGAACTTTTCCCGTTCATATAAAAACCCTTTTGGTTAGAAGTAGAAATTGGGGGTTATCTAAATTTTAAAAACCCTTTTTAAAAAAATGTCTTTTTTTTTTTGACTTCAGTTTAAAACAATTGAAATTTATAAGACCAAAAGAAGTGCATTGACTTTTTGGTAATAAAGATTCAAAAAACTTTGAGGGAAAAGTTAAGATTAAACAGAAAGATGAATAAAATTTATTGAAAAGCCCTCAATATTATACGTAGGTTCAAAATTTCCCGGACTGAGTCTATAACTTAAAAAATATTACCAGTTGTTGCTAAAACACTTCCTCCTTCGAAATAAGACCCTTGAGCAACAGCACATTTTTAACATAGCTTGTAAAGTTCATCAAAACATTTAGCCATGCCTTTCAATTCAGCCGGCCAAATCACTTATAACTTCATCTACAGATTGAAATTGACTACCCTGCATGGATGTGCCAGCTCAAGAAACATTCTGAATTTTCAGGGAGTGAAATCAGGGGAGTAAGAAGGATGCGGCAAAACAGTTGTTTTTATTTCACCCTGTCGTTGTTTGAAGCATGTTCTTACATACCGCCGCAGAAAACTTTTCAGTTTTCAGCGGTGCGGGAAGTCTACGGACGTCCAGAATGTTCGTTGTCTTTGACTCTTTCCCTGTCTTCACTAAAACATTAATGGCACTCAAAAGTTTGCATTCTTGATAATGTATCACTGACTTAAACATGCTTTAACATTTCGTAAGTCTTCATAGCATTGTTTTCCCAAAAACCAAAAAAATTTTGGGATTATTCTCCACCGCAATTTCTTTCAATCGCCATCTACTAAATGCATCCATTTAAAAAAAGCGCCCATGGCAAACACCACCACGTATTTGAAACAAACTTTTTAAAAAAAAGGAAGAATGCAGTGACACAGAAATGCTATCGTAGTCGCTATACTGCAAAAGTTTTTCCAGTTACAGGTTCAGTCTCACTAATTTTTAAATATTACAGGGTATACATATCATAGAAAAAAAGAAGAACCCCAATGAGCCACTAGATTCATAACGTTTTATCTGTTCCAAAATGTAGGTGAAAAAAAGCCAAAATAATATTATCCAATAGTTGGAACCATTTTAAAAGCGTTTTATAAAATTTATGATATTTAGTTCACTTAGATTTGAAAAATGTATATAAAATTGTTTTAAGAATATTATTTTAAATAAAAAAATTTTTAAAATAAATTTGACAAAAAAGGACTAGAATACCCCTTTTAAAAATATTCTCCTTTTGTGAAAAAAAGTTTTATTATAACAATGTTTTGCCTGTATATAGCTGACCTCTGTACGAGGCTGAAGTAGAGTTTTTGAAATATATAATTTAAAAAGGGGGTTTATCCATGTTTTACCAAAACGGGGGGAGAAATTTTGAAAAATAACGCCGATAATTATTTCAATGGGTTGTAACTCTGAAAATAATGTAAATTTTTTCAAAAAAATAGTTGATCTGCAGAAGTCTTAAAAAGGAAAAAATTTATTTTTTTTTAGAAGTTTTTTTTTTTATAAAAAGGAGAAATTTTGAAAATAGGGTTATTCTAGGAAATTTTTTTCCCAAAAATGTATTTAAATAATTTTTTTGTCAAAATGTCCTTAAAACATTTTTATACATGTATTCTAACGTGCATAAATATCATGAAAATTATCCATTTATGCGCTTTTTTAAAATCACGGTTCCCCCGAACGTAGTCGGATACCTTAAGTGAATAGAAAATTTATTAATGGACGAACAACTGACTACACGAAAACAAATCGACGTATATACACAAAGAAACATTATAACAGATTACTTACAGTAATTGAGAAATGCACTCGTAACAAACAATTTTTACGGTGTTCCATAAATGGCTTTTTAAAACAATTCCGCTCTAGCAGGAACTCACGCAGATAAGGTCTCACTGTCATATCGCAAACAAGGCACAAGCAGATTCTGAGCTCGACTGATTGACTCATCTCAGAGGTTCCTTATATATAACTTCATGGAAATTTCCAGAAAGGTCGATTCTACAGATTTCTGGGTGGGTCACTGGCGCTATTATTTTTCGCCAAATCCAAAAGTCGCTAAATTGATAAATCTGTGCATTTTTTCTAAGGTTGCCACAATCTTACTCAAGTTCATGCTGGGAGGTAAACTTTCCTGTAAAACCAAATTTTCTCTAAGCAGAGTGTTACAGCGAAGAAAGTACATTGCGTATTTCAGTACTGTTTGGCCTAGGCAGCAAAAGCAACACCTAGCGGGACTAGCTGAAGTGAGTTATACTTCAGTAAAAATCAAAAGCTCGAATAATTTGTTTGCAATTTAAATTCCAACACACACACACACACACACACACACACACACACACACACACACACACACACACACACACACACACACACACACACACACACACACACACACACACACACACACACACACACACACACACACACAAAACCCCCAATTTTTTTTTTTTTTTTAGTTACACCTTTTTTGGGGGGTTAAAAAATAAAAGAGGGTAAATTTTTTTTAACGTGCACACCCCCTCACGGATGCGAAAATCCTTTGCAGAAAAAAATACAGAACGGACAAATCATTCCCCCCTTGAAATTTTGGGAAAAAAATTTTTTCTTCACTTCCCTGAAGAAGCGGTCACCCGTGTTTGAACCCCAGACCCCTCGATCAGCATCCGTGTGCTCTACCACTGAGCTATACACCCGCGTCAGCGAACCTTGCTTTGGTTTCGTATGAACGTATAGAAAATGCTTTGTCTAGAAATATACAGAACGGAACAGATCATTGCCGCCTTCGAAATTCTGAAAAATTATTTCTCTTCATTTAAAGGGATACCCGGTTTAACCGGGGACCTCCGATCTACAGTCGAATGCTGTACCAATGAGCTATACACCCCGGGTCAGAGAGCCTTTGCTTTTTTCCGTAGGGAAAGGGGTAGAAAAAAGCTTTTTGTAGAAATATACAGAATGGGACAGAAATTCCCACCTTCAAAATCCTCAAAAATTTTTTTCTTTATTCCCTGAAGAAGACTCCGGTTTGAACCCGGGGAAGCCACCTGAA